CAGGGAAGTGGCTGGGGGCCGGGGGGAGCCCACCCGGCCTGGAGCCAGGGTGGCCTTTCACCCCTTGGCACTGCCCTGGCTCTGCAATGCCCCCACAGGCAGGGCCCACTCCCGGTTTGGTTCTCAGGCACACGCATGTTACTTGAATTCCTCAAGTGGAGTCTGGCTGCACCCCAGACAAGGCCCAGGCCTCTCTGCAGGGCAGGGCGAGCCACCCACTCGACTCGCACATGCACACACACACACAGAGCCTCGTGTATGTTTTCAGAATTTAAAATAAAGAAGAAGTAAGTGGGGAAATTGCCCATATTTTTAGAGAGAGAGAATTCAAATAACAAAACGGGCCCGTCAAATGGTCAAGGAGTAGGCCAGCCTCGTAGTGCTGTGGTGAGGCTCAGAGCACTGGGAGCCAGATCCCATCCCGGCCAACTGTGGTTCAAATCCCGGCCCCAGCAGTCTGAACAACACTCTGGCATGTGTGTGCCCCAAATCCCATCACAGGATGGTGAGATGGAGGAGGGGGCTGTGGAGCAACCAGGCTCCATTGGTTGATGCTTCCTTTCCCTCTTTTCTCTCTCTCTGGAGAGCACATGTGCCTGCAGGCAACCGAAAAACACCAAGGTTTAAAATAAGTTATAGGGCTGCCAGGTGGCATGGTAGTTACGGCACTGGACTTCCACATGGCTAACCACAGTTCAAGTCCCGGTCCTGTGACTTGAAACTCACACCGGATGTGTGTGCATGCCCAAAATGCAAAGAAGAGAATGGAGGATAAGGGGTTGCCGTGTAGCCGTTTCCCCTGGGGGGTGATTTTTCACTTTCCTTTTCTCTCTGTCTCTCTCCAGTGAGTGTACATGCCCTATGGTGAAACCTATATATAAATAAATAAATATCGAATCTCACAAGGGCTCTGCAGAAAGAAGGGTCTATTCAAACACTGTTGATGAAAGTCTATGTTGGGACCAGCAGATGGCGTAACGGCTATGTCACTGAACTCCCACGTAGTCAACTGTGGTTTAGGTCCCGGATCTGATGACTTGAAACTCACACCCAGTGTGTGTGTGTGTGTGTGTGTGTGTGTGTGTGTGTGTGCCAA